CACAGAGAATTCAGCTTTCAGTTGTGACTCTCTGGCATGGCAATGGCAGACAAGTTCTCCAACCTTAAGAAGTGTCTCCCACGGGAGGTGGGATGTAGCATCCCAACAGCACAGGTTCATGGGGGTGCACTTCTGTCCCAGAGACTCCACATCACCATCAGAGACGCCTGTCCGCATCTGCTCCCCACCCGATGCCTAGCAGCTTCCTGCAACTGCCCATGTCCCTCTGAGGAACAACTCAAGCACTCTCCTTTCCATTCCCCAAGTTCCCTCAAGATCTCCTCCATGGGGCTCCCCTGTGACTTAGAGCAGCAAGTCCTGCTCTCCAGTCGGACACCGGCCAAAGCGCACCAACCAGAACACCCAGGTGTGATCCGCACCTGGAGGCAATGGCACAGACGTCAAGTGCCTGATGTGGCCCCAGCCAAATGGCCCCAACAACCCAGCTGCATATACTGGGGCCTGGCCGAGAGGCACCAATATGGCCATTACTAGAACTGTGCGTCTGACAATTCCCAGAGACACACCAGGCTCTCTATATAGGCAGAAATGTTCCTAGAATGCCAACCTGGCCCTTCTGAGAGCTCTGCGCCCTTCACTGTGACTTGTGTCATACATGTCACAGAAAGGCAGGATTCCCCGAAATTGAGCCATACACTATGAGGCATTTCTTGCTCATCTGTGGCCTGCAGTCTCCTAGCCGTTGAGTAACACTGAACGAGAACCAGGCCTCTCGCATGGGTCGTACGCCACAACTCCGGGACCCAGCACAGCATCTAGTGCAAACTCAGCAGGTACTCGGCAGAGATCTAGGGACATTAGACCACTTCAGGTCTGTGCAGAGCCCCAGGCTCCTGACATCCCTATCCCACCAGCCCTACTAAACAATGATACCCTACCCCCTGCCCCAGCCCAGCCCCCAGTGCCTTTCCTCTCTTCTGGACAGCTCCAGGCCTGGCTGTCCACCACACTACCAGGCCAGCACTTTTCCTTCAGAAACTGCCGAAGCCCAAGTTCTCACTCATGGAGCTTTTACCTCCCTAAACTCACTGTGTGTCCCCACAGGTGTCAGTTACTCAGCAGGTTTGGAGAAAGCTGCTCAAGAATGTGCAATTTCAAAACACTTGAGTTATTAAAACACCAAAGATTTTTTTCATTTGCACAATTCCAACTGGAGAGACAAAATGAAATATTTCCTTCTGAAACTGATCGTAATGTTCTGTGATGACTAAGTTCCTTACTTACAAACATTGCTATTCTCAGGCACTATTTAAGGCCTTTATAAAGGATTATGGGAACCCATTAAGTGACCTTAAAGAGTTACACTCTCTATAAGTCATTACTGGTTTTGCCATGCACCTTCTATCTTCTTCACCATCAAGCTATCAGGTATAAAACTTCTTGCTGCTATAAATAATTCTTGCCTCCTAATTTGCTGGAACAGCGGGGTCAGTAGGTTAGAAGCTGGCCACAGAAGGGTGAACTAAGGCTCTGGAGTGGGGAGCACAAGCAGGAAGAGGCTGGTGTATAGAAACATACAGTGGTTAAAGCTACTGAGCTCAGAAGCTCAGCAGCAGCAGAAACAGATGTGGCACTTAGTGCGACCGAGAGCCCATGCCCTTCAAAAAGCCCATTCCCTCCACCCCCGTTATCTTGCTGATTCCTGACAACCTGGCGAGGGTACGCAGCACACAAGCCGGCATCGCCACCACCAACACCCACCTTGGGACATGGGGTGCTAAGCTCAGGAAGATGACTTGTCCAGAGTCCCACACCCGGTACACACTGAAGCGTCCATGTTTCTCATTCCTTCCACCCGGCCCACTTGTGTAAAGCTGGTATTATTTCTTTACGTTAAAAAGGACTAGATGGGCTGGGAGTATAGCTCAGTGGCAGCACACTTGCCCAGCAAGCAAGAAGCCTTGGGTTCCATCCCCAACACCAATGTGCAGGTCACTGTTTACTGCTAATAAGCAAATTCAGTCCCTCATTTTTCACAGTCCTAATAGTGGACAAAGTTTATGAAGGTGACAAAAACTTATAAACATGTCTTTTTTAAGGCTGTTTTATAATTTGCCTGTAGCTCACACTAAAACAACCCAACACACTTAAAGCTAAGTCCTCCCTCTTTACCTGAAGTTTAACCTGTTCTATCCAAGGAACTTTGCAAATTCAATGTTACAGGGGCTGCGCAGACAGTAAGAAGTCCAGCAGAGTACAAAGGTGGGGATCCAAGTTGAATTCCTGGCACACGGACATCTGTGACCCGTGGCAAAACTGCATGCTCCTTAGTCAGACACAGTATGAACTGTGTTCTCCCAGCACTACGTCCTTGCCTTCTGTACGCTGTGCTGTGAGTCTGTTTGCCAAGTCACTTATTGAGGGCCTATTTAGTACCTGCCAGCCAACCATCTAGGCACCGAGGGCAACACACCGATGCACCGCCTCCCCCACCAGGCCAGGCTGCAGGCGCCACAAGAGGAGCTACTGCAGCCTTCTTGCGGACTGAGGAGCTGGATGACGTAGGGGTGTGCCTGGCAGGTGCCCGGGCCTACACATTAATGTCATTAATATGAAAGAGAGCGAACTAGAAAAGGGGTCGGTGTGTTGTACGTAAAGGCATCAGGATCCTTCACTGTCCCAGCAGGCCTTCTGACGCGCCGGCAATGAGTCGTGTGTCCTGAAAGACCCCACACGCACGCACAGCTGGAGGCACAGCCACTGTCACGCGCAGAAGCTGAGGTCCAAGTGTGAAGAATTCAGTCCTCCGTGTTGTTAATAAGTGAAGTGAGGTTAGGCCCATGTCAACCTACCTGTCAGCTGTACGTCTCCCACATCTGGCTTTCAGAAATATTAAGTTAATACTGTCTCAGAGTGAAATTTACGTTGACATCACTGCCTGGACACATTATTTAAATGTCTGAGGTCACACATTCTATCTAAACAGAAGTGAGTTAAATAAAAAGTTCTCCGTTGTGGGTCTTTGCAAGCTATAAATTAGCTTTCAGGGAAAGTTTAACTCATTACTTAAACTCTCCTAACTTCAGGTCAGAGAGCAAAGAGGCTCTTTACCAGGAAAGTCCAAAGTGAACTGCACGCTGACTGTGAGCTTCTTGCAAATCTTTTAATTAAAACTTAAAATCAAGCTGGGTGTGGTGCTGCAGGTATGCTAATTCCAGCACTCTTGAGAAGCTGAGGCAGAAGGATCACAAGTTTGAGCTCAGCGGGGGAATTACTGACTTAGTAACGGGATGTAGCTCAGTGCAGAGGCCCTGGGTTCAATGGTCAGTACTGGAAAAAATTTTTTTTAAAACTAGGATTGATTAGGTGATTTGTCTGCTTCCCAGAGTAGATAGAAACACTCCTGGGTTAACTGTTAAGAAATATTAACAATATAAAAACCAGAAATATAAACATATAATGTGTAAAAAACACAGAAGTTCATGTCATCAGTAATAAAAGGTTTTCCAGGTTTTTCTCCACATCCAACTAAGTGAGTAGAACAACTAAGGACTAAGTAAAATTTAGAAGCATAATGAAACAGACTCTAAGTGTGCCAGTCCGAAGGGTGCCAGAAAGAGCCAAGTCTTAAAGGAGGGCTGCTATTACGCTACAAACATAAGTTAACTGTATTCAAAGGCTCCATAGAGCCCAATCTCCAGACCCTACAAATTATGACTTAGCTGGAAAGGCTAGTGACATTATTTAGAAACAAACTGCATACTAAATAAAGGTGTAAACTGAATTACAGTAATTTTGCAGACAATCCCTAAGCTTAGTATCGAGAAAATCCCAACACAGATTTGAAATGGTTAAAACAAGACGTGGAATTTTCCAGACTGATCATCTGATTCAAAATGAAAGCAGTTTAGCGACCTACAGCAACTAGATCACCTTCAATAAACAAGGAGAACGTGCAGTCATGAAGAGACCCCGGGATGAGTTAGTTCTATTTTCATTATGCTGGGAAAAACAAATACATAACTGAACAATCAGAACGGACTCTCTGCCTACATTTTAAATAGTTTTTAAAAATTCTCCAAATCAAGTTTATGATTTTATTTATAGTCTGACTTCCACAACACACTTTGCAACATTCTGAGTAAAGAGTAGACCCATTTGTTCAGATGACTGGAAAAATGTACTTAAGACCTAAAATGTACTACGAAATTTAAAAATATTTGTATTAATAAAAAAACTTAAAACTCAAGATGGGCAAACAAAGTGTAGTAATTTTTAAAAGCTACCATATCGTACCTTCATATATACTGAAGCTGGGTTCTGTAAGAATTCCCAAATACACATTGAAATTCTTAACAAAAAAAAAAAAAAAAAAAAAATTCCAACTACGTATCAGCATGCCAGCTGGAAATATGATATAGCCAACGAAACTATTTTCCTGCCCAGAAATTATCCCCTCCCTTCCTAAGTGTGACTACACTTTTGTGCCTTTTGTTCAAAAACATCATAAATCATAAACTACGAGAACTGGGTCAGCCCGACAGCAGCAAGCCCCTGCCTCCCGCCGCGGCAGCATCCTCGGGACGCCCACGCCCGCGGCCGCCCGGCCCGCTCTCCCCTCGGCCCCGGCCTCCCGCTCCTCCTGCCCCGCCCGCGTCCCCGTCCGGCGCGGCGGGCCCGAGAAGCTGGGCGGCTGTCACACCGACCGAGGACCGGAAGGCGGAGGCCGAGCGCGGCGCGGCCCGACTCCGACGCCGCGGGGCTGACCCGCACCGGGCCTGCCCGGCACTTTCCGCCGCGCCCGCGCCCCGTCGCAAGTTCGCTAACAGCCCGAGCGCGGCGGGCGCCGTGATTCAGCAGCGGGCCGGGCGGGGATCGCGCCGATCGCGGGCCGGGAGGCCGAGTCCGGAAAAGGTCACCGAGACGCTGCGGGCGCCGCGCCCGGCCCGGGACCCGGCTGGTGGCGACTGGGTGGCGGGCGGGCCGGACGCGGCGCAGGATGGATCCGGCGCGGGCGTCCGCCGGCCGGCGGCTCCTACCTTTCCGGCTCTTGGGCGAGCTCCGCTTGTTCCGGGCGCTGGCTCGCTCTTCCTCAATCGCAGCTGCTATCTCGGGGTTGTCTTCCCCATTGTACCAGACCAGGAGCTCCTCGCCCGGCGCGATTGGCTGCGGGGAGAGAAGAGACAAGCGCCCGGCCAATCAGAGCGACGGTTGTTGGGGGGCGGGACGAGGGCAAGGCAGGCGGGAGCGGGGCACCGAAGGCAAACAGCTGTCGGGCGGGCGCCGCGCAGCGGCGGCTACGCGGAGAGGAGGAGCTCAGGGTCCGGCGCCCAGAGGCTCCGCCGCGGGGAGGAGCTCGCGGGAGCGCGCCAGCGGGAGGCTGCGCTAGGAGGAGGGGCTCGCGACCGCGCACGGGGGAGAGGCGGCGTGCAGCACACACAGGAGCCAGGAGTGGCAGAGCTGATCTAACCCGCAGGTGCTTCCAGATCGTACTGCTCCAAGCCTCAAGTCACCCACACAGAAGAGAAAATGTAACATCGAACCAAGTTGCCCACGACATTCGAGTGGCTAAAAATCCAAAGCACAGTTAAACAGACAGCATGCTAACAGCAGTGGCAACGCACGTTTCTGATTCCAAGCGCCAGTTAAGCACAATTATCCAGACATCGCTATTTATACTGCAGAAATGCTAACAGGAAGCAGCTCCGGACAGAGCATCACATCACTTATGCAGTGCTATCAAGCTGCTGGGAACAAAGACATCAAGATTTTACATTACAGCTTTTTAAATGAGAAGGACATACCTGAAAATGCCTGCCCAAACATCAAGTCCTTAACAAGTCAGGTGTGAGTGGGAGCCTTGCAGACACTCCCCCAACATACCCATTACACCTACAAGATTCTGAAAAACAAAACACGCTGCGTGGCAGACTGAACCCTAAACAAGCGGGAACACGCTTCCTGGCTTCTCACCTGTTCAGAAAGTTTCAAGAGTATGACTGCAAGATATCATCCAAATGCACCGAATAAAGTAAGAATGACGAGTCTTATTGACATGAATGAATAAATGACAAGGGGCAATTTCTTCCTTGAAGTAGATACAGCTCAGTAAGTGAAAAGAAATGAAGGTACCAGAAAAACAGCACCTGACAATCTATTAAGTGTGTGACTCAGGGAAGATTCACTAATGGATGATAAACCCAAGAGGTGAAAGTCTGAGGAGTAAGAAAATGTATTGTCTCAAAATCTCCCCCAACATACCAAGCACAAGGGGAAAAACGTCTTGGTAATGAGACAAATGCACATCCATGTGTCCCTTGATGGGATGCAGAGAACACGCATCAGCCCTGGGAGACTTCTGCCCACCAGGCACACATGGAATGTAACCACAATGAAACCTACGAGAACTTCAACCTAAGAGACATGCTATAAAATAGGTTGTCCAAGACTAAGGCAAGGCTAAGCCAAGAAGACGGGTAAGACATACAACAGACTTACAGCAGTATTCTTAGCCTGTGAAAAGTATCAGTGCTAGCTTCCTCACTTTGATCACTGCACTATGATTATATACCAGAATAATCCTGAGTTTTGTCTTTTTTTTTTTTTTTTTTGAACAGGAGATAAATTACCACTTAAGATCAGTTTAGAAACAAAGATCATTCCTCACTTCAACACACCTTTTTAAATTTTTTAAAAATCTTATTTGCTACAGGATCTCACTACACAGCTTGGACTGCTAGTGACCTTCCTGTCTCAGCCTCCCCAGCCTGGGAGTGTACACCATCACACTGGGCTTCTGTGGCCAGCAGGGCGCCAGCACCGCATATGGTACTGGGGATTGAACCCAGGTCCTTAAGCTTACTGGGAAGGCACATAGGCTGCAAACTGTGCAGTTAAAAGGAAACATTGCATCATTCTCCACAGAATTCTGGTAATATTGTTCAAATTCTGAAACAAGATAAATTCTTTAAAGAACTTTACAAATAAAGTTAATGGTTTCTCCAAGAATGGATCAAATGTGTCATATTATTATCTTTGAATCAATGTTTTATTAAATCTATAGGTATGTGGGCTAAATAGCTCAGTGAATTAAAGCGCCTGTTTAGGCAGACGAAGGAGCGTGGAGTTCAATCCACGGGCCTGCCCTGCTGGCCCCCCCAGGCGTGCTGAGACAGTGATTGAGACTAGGTGTGGGGGCATGCCTGCAATCCCAGCCCTTGGGAGGCTATAAACAGAAGGATCACTAGGAGTCTGATCTACACAGTGAGACCCTGTAGACCCTGTCCTAAATACAAAACATAAAGTATTAAAAAAAAAAAAAAAACCTACACATAAAAACTTAATAAATAAAATTTTAGCTGGGCCTGATGGCACACTCCTGTAATCCCAACAGTGTGAGAGGCTGAGGCAGGAGGATTGCAAGTTCAAGCCCAGCCTGGGTAACTCAGCAACTTACGGCAGTGAGACCTTGTCTCAAGATAAAAATGAAAAAATAAAAAGGACTATGATCACAGGGCTAGGATTAGTGTGAAGGCCCTAAGCTCACAAAATAAGTATTAATGAGCTAAAACAGCTATTGTACCTGCCTTTCAGTTCTCTGATAACCTAAGCTGCTTTGTTTACTCTTCAAAAACAAACTGCTTCAAAATTATTGAAATGCCAGTTCTTTTTTCTATTTCTGAAATTATATTATCAAAAAAAATGTTTCAGAAAACTAGTCTAAATTAGGGCTCTATATGTAAACTCCTAAAATAAGTAAGTAAATAAATAACCAACCAACCAAGCCAAGCCAAGCATGCTGGTGGTCATTTGTAATCTGAGCATCTGGGAGATTGAGACAGGAGGATCACAAATTTAAGCCCAGGCTGAGCAACTAAGTGAGATCCTGTCTCAAAATAAAAGTAAAATAAACCAAAGTAAAAATACAGGAAGGAATAAAGACAAATGTATTTTCAACACATTCCTTACCCAAATAGCACAAGCTGAACACTGGCTGGAAGTGACCACCAGACATTTTCTGGAAATTTCCAAGACTAAGAGCACATTTCCATGTTTTCTCCACCGTGGGCATGAGCTAAGTACTCAGGGCACCAGCAACTTGGTGAGTTCACCATTGGCATGAACTCTGCTGGACTAAGGCACTTGTGCCCCAAGTTACTCTTCTGTTGCTGCAAACAACACTAGAGCAATAGCCCAGCATCTGCTTGTAAGACTGTCAAATTCTGTGAAGCCTAATGGGTTGGCCAAGTGCTACGTCATCTGACTAGTTCCCTACCGAATAGCTTTCAAAGTTGTTGGAAACTCAGATGTGATTTCACTGTGGCATTACACGTTTTCCAAAGTTACTTAACAACTGCGCAGGTAAGATCTCCTTATTTGCTTACATCACCAATTACTTTCCTCTGCCCTGCACTGATGTTCCTTTTGCACACCTTTACATTTTAAAGATTTCCTGCGTCAAATTTTGGAAGAAAGAAAAGCCATGTTATTGAGCACAGGAAGTACAAAGCCATGCTTTGAAAAAGCCAAGACTAAATCATGAGTTTCTTAAGGATGAGCTATATCCTGAAAAATGTGTCATTAGGCAATTCTGTCACTATCAACTATCTTCAGCGTACACATGTAAAAACTAAGTTGGTTACAAGGTCACTAGTCAACATGTCCCTACTGGGCCACCACCCATAGTAGTATACTATGGGAAACTACCTGTACTTCTGTGTGACTGTACTGTATTTTAATGTCAAAGAAAAAAATAAAAACAAGATTTAAAATCCTTCCAACTTTCCTGTGGGTTGAGACAGCCTCTAGCACTCCAAGCACTCTGTCCTCCCTATAGCTCCGTGTGCACCTAGGAGGCTGCGTGTACCAGGGCAGGTCAGCTCCCAGGCTCTCGCTCCTCGCGGGCCTCCTCTTACACTGGCCTTCCCCCAATCTTTGCATGGCTGGCTCCTTCCTACATGGGGGCGGAAATCAACACAACTTTTCTCGGCAGCCCTCCTCCCACCTGAGCACTCTCTATAGCACTGTTCTGTCTTCAAAGCACTCACCTGTTCTCTGAGATAATTCTGTTAACCTACTTACTTGCTGGTTATACGCCTCCTTCCCAGTAAGTGTAAGTTCCATGAGGCTGGAAGCCTGGTCTGTCCTATTTACATATTGGTACACTCAGTAAATATCTGTCAAACTAATAAACAGGTGAAGGAACGGCTTGACAAGCTTTACGGTTAACTTTTGGGAATTTAAAATACTTTTTAATCATAGTGCAAACAAATCTAATGTTAAAATTTCCCAACTGCCTGAGCAGAGTAACTTGAGAGAGCGCTACAGAGCCCCAACAACATCACATGTAATCATTTACAAAATCCACTCCACAGAACGCTTACTCCAAAAGAATAGAGTTAGGGGTTCACCAGTAAGGAATCTAAAAGGCCTCATGCATATTTAAGCAAATATCAAAGGTCAGCATTCGGAGAGGCCTGCAAATATCAAAACCGTTATTTGGAACAAATATAGGTAAAAATAATAGTACAGCTATCTCATGCTTGGAGGTAATCTACTACATACTGGCTTGCTTAATATTAACAACAGTATGAGTTGGCTTTAGAAGCTCAGTATACAGAATCCAACTATCAAAAGGGGAAATGCTACAAAATCTGAAATTAGAGTGTTGACATGAGGAACTCCTGCGACAGCTCACACTCAAAAGTCAGGTACACTAGAACTACTGCTTAAAATTACCTTCTGGCCACATGGATAAGGTGTATATGGAACTTAAGAACATTTCATGTGTAGACTTGGGTCTCATCCCAAGATACCTTGTCACATATACGCAGATATGCCAAGATCTACAATCTGAAACATGTCAGGTGCCAGGCATTTCAGATGAGGGACACTCGACTTGTACTACTTCCTCTGTCACTATAGATGAGAAAACAGAGAGAGAGGGAGGAACTTCACATGCCATGCATCTAAAAGCCAACAGTCACCAAGTAGTCTGCTCCTGAGTGTCTACTCCTGACTACACCAAAAGGGACAGCTGCCATTTATCAGCACTGACAAGGTGCTTCAGCGCTTCAGGCCCCTACATGCCTACGTGCTCCTTCCAGCAATTCTGAGGTCAATATTCAAATCACCTGTACCTTACCGAAATCCAAAGAAAGGCCTTGCCAAGGTCACGGGGCTAAAGAAGCCACCCCAACTTACTGTGGGTCACAAAGTGAGCAGGATTGAACCAATGCGTGTGGCCTCAGCGTTCACTTTCCCCACCAGCACTCTACCTTGTTTCTTTCTCTACGTTCCTGCAAATGTGCTGTCAGAAAGGAACTCGCCTTTAAGTGGAAGCAGCGCCTGTATCTCCTGGGCCATCGCTCCTTCACTACCTTAACTGTCTCATATTCATCCCCTGGCTGCTATTTCATCCACACCAGGATGCAACCTCGCTAAACCAACCACATGTCTTTCCACCTCAGCTCTGAGAACTTCAGCTCTGAGAAAGAGAATGAATTCCTGAGTCACATTTTGAATCCAATTTCAAATCCAATGTAATAAGGCTGTACATTAATACTGGTAAGACTGCTATAATCTGACAGAAAAAACAAAGGGAAACAAGGCTTCAGAAGGCATAAATGAAAAAGAATCGCCAAAAGAAAAAAAAAGAATTCCTCCAGGGACTAGAAGCAAAACATGGGTACAAGTGACAGTACAACTGGGTGATGATGATGTCAGGGAAAAATGCCACAGAGGAAAATCAAAGAGCCACATGCTGCTAAACTCCTGAAGGTTGGTGCCACCACACTGCCAGGACTCAGCAAGTTGCAAAGCTGGCCACCACCTTCTGCATGTGCTCATCAAAAGTTTTCAACACGACAGAGATTACTGTCTCCCCATTACTTGGGTCCCCCAGTCTATGACCTATATAATGGAAGTAAATAAACATGCATTTGCCTTGTTACGCTTCTAGCAAAGGTATCTATTCTGAAGAAGTAACCTATCTTTACAGCCTCAAGATGCCACCTGTGGCAATTTCCAGTCATTGCGCAGAGCTGTCTTCCTGGAGAACACGACTGACAAGACAAGAAGCGAAATGCAGGCTTGCCTACTGCTGGAACCCAGCAACCCCCAGAAGTTCCCCATAGTCATTTCCTGGCCCGCTAGGTGCCTCCTGAGCACCCCAAACACAGCCTTCCTCTTCTTTGCATGTCAGCAATTAATGTCTCCAGAGAAAAGGACACATGTTCTGTTTCTATTCTCAATAAAATTGAAGGGAAGGAAAGGCTGATCCATGGCTTCATTTCCATTGAAGACTGTGAATGGGTTTTCAGTTAGCACAGCACTACCATAACTACTGATAGCTCCTTAGAGGGGATAAAGCTGCCAGTCAGACAGTTCCCAATGCATCTGCACCTTCAAAAGAGGGGACCAGCTGCCACACGCTTAATCAATGGTATCTAGAAAGATGCAGTGTATAATTAGTCACCACGAGCTTCGTACTTTAGCTCCCTGACGTGCAAAGCAGCACCAAGCATATATTTAAACCCGAACATTGAGCGTGTGGATGAACCATTTCAACTACAACCCATCCAAGGTTTGAGAAGTAGTCACGGTCAGCCACAAGGAGGGAGCACATTTAGAAGGCGCACCCAGGGCAGCTAGCAGCGGTAGCCCAACTCCACCACTGTGGTTACCTTTAATGTTTTATAGTAAATGGCTCTGTTGATTTCCAAGGGAAATAAGTTTTGCTCTTCTCCTGAGCAAGCCCAGTTCACATAGCGCAGCCAGTTCCCCTTCTCGGGATCAGTGGCGTCGATGCACATCCATCCCAAAGTCGGGTAATACACCTGGGGGACAGGAGAAAAGGACAACAGCCTGTGTTTAAGCAATAGTATTGAAAATGTTTTCAACTTTAAAACAAAAAATTCTTTTATTGTATATTAGTATTCTATAATGACACATTTCAGAGAGCTAAAGTAACAGAGGAAAGAAAAATACAAGGTGAAAACGGAAACTCAAATCTGTGTAATTCCCATTATTTTTTAAAAATTGGGCTTGTTTTCACTCTGAACATACAAACTACATTTGTTGATCTCCAAATATATACAAATATGTGCATAAGAACAGGTGACAACTTGTGACCAGAAGCGTAACAGAGCAGTACATGGAGCATGAAGCAGCTGGGCAGCACCCAAAGCCTTTGAGCTTTTGGGGTGCCTCATCCAGCTGAGCTGGCTGGACCCTCAGTAGGTGACAGAGACTGAACCAGCCACATGAGTGACAGGACCTGATGCTTCCACAAACCCGGCTCATCTTATGCCTGCTCCACCCAGAGGATCCACCAGGACGGAGGTGAGGAGGGACCCACCGTGACAGTCTCAGTGACCTCCAGGAAAAGATCAGAAACCTGGCCCTTCTGTGCGAATCCCTTCCAGTCGCCTTCTGCAGGAAGCCTCACTCACCATCCCTGCTTAGGCCTTCCCCGACCTGCCTCTGGCAGCATTTCTTTCTCACTGCTCCATTTTTAACTCTAAGTTTTATGTACATACATGTCATATCCCCTAGAACTGGGCTGCTAACACCCAAGTAGGCACTGAAACAGAACTACTACAGACATGGCGAACAGAAGAAGCATGTCGCTGACTTTATTTTGGGGAAAGAACCTGGCTGCTCTGTCTCCTTGCCCACAGCCACGGCCATCAGCATCAGCACTCCTGCCTTCTCTCCCTTTCTGCGCATGTTCCTCACCCTCACATCCCTCACCCTCATGTCCCTCATCCTCACGCTCACCCTCACGCTGACCCTTTCTACCTGGAGCAAAGCTCCAGCTCCCCATGGCAGCAAGGACGCTGCTCTCCGGGCTGCCTGGGTCTCAGAACCCACCTCCTCCTGGGCTCTAACAACACTTTCCCCCAGGCAGATGACTGTTGACAGAATGCTCCATGCTTTATATATGGCTTCGCTTAACTCTGTGAAGTTGCATTTAGTAATATTTCTCCTTTCAACATATGCGATTCCAGGGCCCAAAGTGAAGTAAGTTTCCTTCCAAAGTCACCTAATTAACTGGAGTAAAGACGAGCTCAACCCAGGACGACACATGCCCTGTTCATCAGTGCCTTTCCTGCCCGTACTCAGCGAAGCTGCAGACCCTTCTGTGCCCATCAGCACTGCCAGCGCTGCCGGCGCTCAGAGCTCGGATGCCTTCTACTCTGTTCAGTGACTCACCCTCATCAAGTACTGGCTCCTCCACTCACTGTAGTGCTTTCAGTATCTCAACCAGGTCTGGCATACAGTCGGCCAGGTACAAAGAATTACAGAATAAAAGAAAGAGTATCAATACACGCGTGTTTAAGCACCGTCACCTAAGGAGCACTTACTGTGTGACAGGGACCACACCAGAGGTGCTCCGCGGCTCCTTCATGTAATCACCATAAGCACTCATCTGAGCGCTTTCATTGTCAGGGAAGTATCCCCTCTGAGGTTTGGCTAAGAGTGCTCATTTACTAAACAGCTACCCACACCGTTCTAAGGTTAGCCACGCTGGCTGCGCTAGACTCCTTCACACCTTGCTCTCACATTTGCCCTCGGGTTCTTCCATAAACCCACACCATACTCAAAACACACACACACACACACACACACACACACACACACACACACACTCTTCTCCTGGTACCTCCCCAGGGGTATGGTATGAAGAGACAACCATAATAAAACTTCAAGTTAAACATAACACACCAAAAATGACAAAAGCAGTTTTAAGTTAAAATGTTTATGAGATATTGTTGTCATACTTGTCAACACATTAAAATAAGGAAAAATAGATAACATGGCCTTTGAATCTTGCCAGTCCATGCTGGCTATGGCTTACTGAATTAACGCAGGCATTATTTCCCTTGCCCCTAATACAAACTGCACCAGGCTCACAGAAGAAGTGTGGTTTTGATGCATCTCAGTGGACGCTGGGGTTCCATGCAATCCCCTCTCACATACTAGCCTGGCAACAGAGGTCAGCAGGACCACAGAGAGAGCTGCCAGGAAAACCCAGCATGGAAGTGGCAGCTAGACCATCCACCCGCCTTACAACAATACAAGCTCTGCAGCATTTCTGGCCATCCAGTCAACAAGACATCCCACAAAAGCAAAGTGTTTCACTCGTGTGAATTCTTAAGTATAGCTCATGGTTTTGCAAAAGGAACTAAGGCACCTTCTAAGTCACCCCACAGGTGTACAAAGCCAAAATGATAATCACTTCAAATTTTAAAAATAAGCAAATAGGTCATTCACAAAGGAACACACAGAGCTAAAAGCTCATTTGAAAAACTCAACAATCACAAATAATTTATTTTTCTAATTAATTATTTGGTACGTGGTCTTGCTATGCAGTTCAGATTGGTAGCGATCCTCCTGTCTCAGCGTTCCTAATGCTGAGATTACAGGTGTGTACCACCATGCCTGGTTTCTGTGGCCGGTACAGCACACCTGGAGTTCTGGGGCCGGCACAGCATCCAGTACTGGAGATCAAACCTGGGTACCTGCACTTGCCAGGTAGGTACTTAAATGGCTGAGCCATCTCCCCAGCCCTCACAAGTAATTTCAAATTGGAAGTTTTACCTATTAAATTGGTAAAAAAAAAAAAAAAAAAAAAAAAAAAACAACCACACACACACACACACACACACACACACACAAAATTTGGGTTTCTTAAAGAAAACAAATAGAGAGATATGTGACATTTCCTTAAGTACTGACAAAGAATTAACTGGTGTAATCCTATAGTACGGTGCTTAGCAGTATCTGCCAAAACTTTAATATATAAATACACTCTAGCATGTACACTTGTGGCAATTTATTCTAGCAATATAACTGGGCAATGAATTCAGACATCTGCAGTAAGATGTTCACAGCAGTGGGCACCCACTTTACCACAAGTCCATCTGTCAGGGGTCATTTTCCAACATACCATCTATTATACAGGTGACTCTAAAATATTAACTTAAAAGGTAAGTACCTCGGCCCCTCAGAACCTCAAAGCCCAGCCCACTATCTCGTCTAGTGAGAGCTCACCAAACCCTCTCTGAAGTGACTCTGCAGGCTTCAGACCCGCTACACAGCCGTCCCGGACAAGCTCCCAACTGTGATGCTTGGTAAGAAAAGCTGGCTGGCTCACAGCAGGCCCTCAACGACATCTGCTGGGCTAGCCTTAAATCAGAAATTCCAGCTATGGTAGCATGCATGTTTAAGAATCCATACACATCTAGAAATAACACACAAGCACGTCTGCCTAGGTGTGCATTTGCACACTTCCAACGGGGCTTTCAGGAGTGCTGCTGCAGCTTAGGTGAGTTTCCTCAAAGACCTGTACGGAAAGCCTTGGTCCTCTGGGTGGACCTTTAAGAGCTGGGCTCTAGCAGGATGTCCTTAGAACACTGGGGTTTGGCCCTCTAGGACCGCTTGGAACCCGGCTTATCCTGAATGTGACCGTTCTCCTCCTACACATGCTGCCATCATGACACGTTGTCATCACCAGAGGCCCAAGTCCTGCAGATGGACACTCAAGTCTTGGATGTGAATCTTAGAACAGTACCCACAGTAAATGCTTTTCACTGCCTAGATGGCCTGTGTTGGGTATTCTGTCACAGTGATGGAAAGCCCCAAGACAGACAGGTCCATGAGACAATAAAGCTGGAGAGTCTCTGGTCTTTGCCAAGGGAAAGAGCACCAGGTAGGCAACTGAGAAGCTGGCTCCTGCCATGACTCCAGCACCGACCAACCACCTCAAGACACCAAGCAAGCCACTGGAAACCCAGACTTCTCATCTGCAGAAAGATTCAGGTCACGTCTAGCAGTCCTCTATTCCACACACACAGAATGAAGGCATCTGCAGTAGTTTATAACACCACAGACGTTATAGGCTGAGCTTGGGGCTCCAGGACTTAAGACAGGCCTGGGACTGCTGTGAGTACAGTGGTGTTCATAACTGATTCATCACAGCCAGTAACAGACTTATTTCTTTGTTGTTGGGCATGGTGCACTTGATTGTAGTCCCAGCACGTGGGATGCTGGCGCAGGAGGACTGTTGGGCATTGGAGGCCAGCCTGGGGCACCTAGTGAGTTCAAGACCAGCCTGAGCTTGAAAAGAAGAACCTGTCTCAAAAAAAGAAAAACAATGCACAAACACAAACAAACAAACAAACAAAAAAAAAAAACAGCAAAAAGACAGGGCTAGGCACATGGTAAAAGCTTAACACACAGGCATTAAGTGAGTGAATGAATAAACTCAATTTTTTTTTTTTTTTTTTTTTAACCAGAGAAAAATAGTACTTTGGGTACAAGTTAACTTGTTTGGGAAGATCACGTAATTCCCTGCACAATGTCCACATCTGTCTTGCAGTTGCTAAGAGAAGAATACGGCTGGCTCTGCTGTTCCACGCCCTTTCCGCTTCCAGTACTAGCGAATTCTGCAGTACTGCTTTAAACTAAGCACTTAGTGAAGCTGAGGCAGCAGACACCACCTTCCTTCCTGTTGCTTCTCTTCCTCCCCCAACCAGACCAGGTACACAAAATATTTTTAGTTTTATAGACCACGCAGTCTCTACTGCCACGGCTCAACTCTGCCATTATGGGGCCGATGCGGCCCGAAAAGCTACATAAACAAATAAACTTAGCTGTGTTCCAATAAAACCACCCATGAACTGAAATTTGTACTTCTTGCACTTTTCATGGGCCACAAGGCATTTTTTAGTCACTTAAAACATACAAAATCCCTTCTCAGCTCCAGGGCTGTAAACAGTACGCACTGGGCTGGACTCGCATGAGGTCTGGACCTTCGTCATGGCACTACTCT